AAGGAAGGAAGGAAGGAAGGAAGGAAGGAAGGAAGGAAGGAAGGAAGGAAGGAAGGAAGGAAGGAAGGAAGCCCTTGATCACCTTGCAACAATAAAACTAGCACAAAAACACAACCCAAAGAAAATCTGAGAATGAGGTAGAGAAACAGAAACCACTTTCATGTCCTCTCACACATACTGCCAAAGACTTAGAAAGAGAAAAGTTGTCTGTGGCAGTCCTGAATTAACCATTAAGCAAAATAAACACATGCTTAGGGCACCAAGAAAGGGAGGCACCACAGAGATTTTCCCCTTAGTCATCAGGCCCTTAACTCTTTCACTGCCATGCTCAACTTCAGTTTTAGCATTTATTGAGTCTTATTGGTCAGTTAAGCAATGGAAGGGCTGAGGGCTTTGCTGGGGCTATGCTTAGGGCATCAACTGGCCTGAATCCTACCCTGTGCCAAGGTTCAAAGATTGCAATGATATTGGTCTACAAAATGGCAGCCACAGACTGCCGAATCGGTGGGATGGTAGAAGATACATCGCAAGAGAAAAAGCAGCTTTTCTACAGGCAAAATCACATCGTGATACAAGGGCCTAAAAACACATAGGGCACCAGAATAAATAAAAACGTTTGATGAATCTGAGTTTAAAATGATTTCTCCCACCTCCCCACCCAAAAGAAGGATTAAAGAGGAAAAAGCCATCTGATCCTTTTCTATTAAAGTATTTCCAATTAAATCTAAGATGACCCTCCTATTTAAAATAGGTAAATAATTTGGGGGAAAAGCTTAAGTTTCACTGGATATCGAACGATGCTCTGCTGCTCTCTACTGGAATGCGGAGAGAGATGAATGAGATCAGAAATTAGCCCAGTAAGAAGAATCCTTACGAGATGGCACTATTTTAAAAGTCTACCAAATTACCATTAACCTCTATCTTTACCTGGACTAGCCAACAGTTTTGTATACTTCCAGAATTTTAGATCAGGTTGCAAGGCACTAAAGGCAGGGATGAGAGGAGGAAAAACAAAAATATGCCAAATATGAGTTTTGTTACAATTTCTTATTTTTCCCACTTAAATTTGGTTTGTCCCATGATTACATCAGTGTGAGAAGTTTTTTTTTTAAGTTGTATTTTAAAATATGCGTATATGCATTTTCTTATCCATGCACACACATACACGCGCACACACCAATTTTCTAGAACAATGCATTATTGAATGTTGTTAAAACTAACATCAGTTACCGGGTAACTAGAAATAAAGTTCATTATTATAACATATACATTGTGGTACGTCATCTTGCAATATCAAGGGGCTTTTTTTAAACCCTTTTTTTAAGCTGGAAAACTGTACCACCAAATTTAGGGAAAACATCTGGCAGATAGCTGGATTTCAATCTGCATTTTGGTTCCCTAAATGATTCTGTTGCACCAACCAGAAACATTGCTCATTGTATTGGCCTTGTCTCTGAGTAACTTCCCTCTGAAAAGATGTGAAAAGTAGTCCTTTCCACAATAACATGCTTGCATCTGGAATACAAATTTCCTTCCATTTTTCCAGAAGGCGTATGTGAAAATGAAATATTAAAGACAATATTAAGGGCATGTCATATTTTCTCTTTGAGCAGATTGGTTAGGGAAATACCAACTGCATCTCCTCTCTCTTATTTTCCACCACAACTAGGCTTGTGATATTAAAAATGTTACCATTCTTTTAGCAGATAGGAAGGGGGAAATGGATGATAGATAGGGATAAGTAATTGCGTGTGAGCACAAAGATGACAGTAACTCAGCATAGCCAGCTGAAATTACAGCTATTTGGATTTATGTGTTTAAAGAGATCTCACCTGGAAGAACCAAGAGGCTATTATACCTGATTACGTCCCTAAGGAGCAGAGAGAAATTGTGTGAGCCAAGGACCACATTAAATGCGTTGTCCTCAGTCCCCATCATGTCCATGTTGCTTCTTCCCATGTATAATGCAGGAAGAGGACTCTGTTTACCCATCCATCCGACTGAGATCAGGTCAGACAAATCATGACCATTCGACTTGAATGGCAATGTCTTAGAAATCAAATACTGGATTCCAGTCTAACAAAATTATCTACAACTGATTGTTTCTTTGGCCCAAACTCTGAAGCAACAGTTTCTTCTCCTACCATGGACTCTTTGATGCTTTCCAGAACTGACAGCACTGCTTGGGCTGCTACAGTTGCTCCAGTCTGCTGAGAATCCAGATGGGGACATGGGTGTGCTGTGCGCCTGTTGCAACTCTGTAAGAGAAAGATTTTAATGGTGGTATGGGCATGTCAGACCAACCTGAATTCATGCTGTTATAACTTTGCAAAGATATTTGAGCAAATGTGCTCTTCAGTACTAAAGCACTCTGGAGTACACTGATTACCATTTCATGCAATATCCCAGAGTATGCTACTTTATCTAAGCCAAGGATCACACTTGGCCATTGAGTGGCACATTAAAAAAGAAAGAAGATAGATAGATAGATAGATAGATAGATAGATAGATAGATAGATAGATAGATAGATAGATAGATAGATGATAGATATTCCAGTGAATTCATATTAAATATTATCAATAGAATTAGCCTATTTTCCCTTTCTGTCATTTAAGTGGCACATTAAAAAAGAAAGAAGATAGATAGATAGATAGAGAGATAGATAGATAGATAGATAGATAGATAGATAGATAGATAGATAGATAGATGATAGATATTCCAGTGAATTCATATTAAATATTATCAATAGAATTAGCCTATTTTCCCTTTCTGTCATTTAAAATGACAGTTTGATGAGAACCTTTGAGATCTCTGGGCATGCACTCAAGGTTTTTATGGGCCACTTGTCAACCTGGGACATCCAATTATGTAACTAAAAAAAAAGGAAAGTCTCCCTCAAGTTCAGCTCAACTGCTAATGAGTTCCATCCAGTTTTCTAGGCAACAGTAATGAAAGGTTTCTCATTGCTTTCTTCCAGGGTGTTTTACTGACTTCCAGATCCAGCCTACAGCTCTAACATTCCTTGGTGGAATTCTATTCAAATACTAACCAGGTCTGACCCTTCTGCACCTCCATCCCTGGGCAAGGTTGGCCAGATATTATCACCTGCTGGGCCCTTTCATAACTACTAAAATATATTTTGAACTGTTGTAACAGTAATGAAGGAAGTTTATGAAGGATAATTATAATCTTCTAGCCAAAGGAACAAGTCCTAGGCCCAGACCAACTAGAACTGGAACAAACATTGGGATTTCCAGAATTAGCATCTAGAAATCCTTTATATCTGCTGCCTTCCATGATCAACCATTGGCCAACCTAGGATGTTCCAGAACCTGAGGTTATTTTTTGTCCAGGAAGATACTCCAAGTCATAAGTCTGATGGATCAGATGAAGCTGCTGCCTATGAATCTGAAGATTTGGGGTTCACACTTTGTGACAGTCAGCACTTTTCAGCGAGAGGGGCATGTGCTACTTCAGTCAAAATGCATACAGTCCACAACAGATGGGAAAAAAGACTTCAGTGAAGTGTAATAGATGGGCAGCCTAGCCAGCTCTTACAAACACATTCCTTCAAAATGTCAGATGGTATGCATTTCAATGTCCCAACAAAGACCTATAGAGACTCTGAGCATGAGAAATGGGGAATTGTTTCTGTACAAACAAGTAAATAAATGCATGTTCCTGAGTAAGGCATACACCTTAATGGATCCTACATGTGCACAAATCTTGCTCCCTTGGATTCAGAAAACCACAACTGATGCCTAAAGGGCCTGACCTAAATGCAGAGATGCCCGTGAAGGCCAAAGTTGAGACAGGCTCCCCAGATAGGAATGTTCTTTGAGCTGCCAAGTTCATTTCCAAGTAGCTCAGCCCTTGCTGTGTCCTTAACAGAGTGGATGGTTCGCTCTGCATTGCTCCTGGCAATTAGCAGCTGCAGCAAGCAAATTAGGTTTTCTATTACATTCCACAAAAGCCATGGCATTAAATCTGTACCTGAACTTTGGAGATAATTCAATTAAGTCCCCTTGCAAAGAGGGGGAGAGATACTACAACCAAGTGGAGCTGTTCTTTCCATCTCCCGGCTGCCTGTAGGAATTCTCTTGACATTTAGATCTGCACCCTTCTTCTTTTCATGATCTTGTGGGTAGAGGCAACAATCAGTGAAAGCACCTATGACTTTTTGTGTTGGACATATCTTCTCACAGACTCATAATTGTGAGAAGTCATAAAAGTTAAAGGACAGGAAGCGGATCATAGGACTTCATTTTCACAATGGAGAGATGTAGAAAGTGTGGGCACCCCTCCCACAAGGATCTGTATTGGTACCAAGGTTTTTTCACTTGTTTAGAGCTGAGCAGTTCAGGTAATTAAGTTGCTGATGATATCAACTTATTTGGGGTAGTAAAAGGAAGACAAAGACTGCAAAGAGCTCCCAAAGGATTATAAATGGTAGGTTAGTACAATGCAATGCAAAGTGATGCACATTTGAAGGGAAAAAAAATCTCAATTTCAGATATACACTAATGGAGTCTAAGCTGGCAACAATGACTGGCCAGAAAAAAGATCTTGGAGCTACAATGGATAGGTAAATACAGATGTCAATCCAACACATAGCCTCAGTGAAAAAATCTGGCACATTTCACTCTAGGAATCCTTAAGAAGTAAATTGAGAGGAGAATTAACATAGTAATGGCCTTCTATAATACTATGATGAGATTGCAGTTGGAATGACATTTCTGCTTACTGCACCCCAAAAAGGAATATTATAGAGCCAGATCGGTTATAGAAAAGGACCATTAAAGTTCATTTGGGGCTACAGTAGGTCTTCTATGAGGAAATATTGTAGCATTAGGTTTCTAGGTTAGAAAGAAGTTAACCATACATAAAATCATACATTGCATGAAAAGGTGGATAGGGACAAGTTTTTCTCTTATACCCACAAGATTAGAAGCTGGGATCATCTCCTGAACCTGAACTTGCAAGATTTGGACCACTTTTTTATTTGCAGAATGTATATACTGCTTTAATCATTATAGCTTATCAGAGGTGGTGATGGGCATCAGTTTTGATTTCTTTAAAAGGGAGCTTTTGACAGAGATTTATCAATAGCCAGATACTGCTTTAGATAAGTGCACATTATCTCCAGAATCACATATCCTAAATATTCATTGCAAATGAGAAATAACAGAAATGTCTCTGTCTTTTCATTTCTTGTGTTTTGAATGCATCTAGTCAGACACTGTGTGACACTGGTCAAAATAAACTTTTGACCTGACCTAACAGACATGTTCATACACTCAGTTGCAATAATTAAAGTTCCTCACAAAAATCCCTCTCTCCAAAGAAACAAGTCCACACCACAGGTGGAGCAGAACTTACTTTGACAATAGGTTGCCCAGAAGTGTAGTAGAAACATCTTGTAAAAAATCATTGATTGGAAATACTTGGGTCTAGGACCTTCAGTTAGAGCAGTGCTTCTCACCCTTGGCAACTTTCAGATGTGTGGACTTCAACTTCCAGAATTCCCCAGCCAGCCTTGCCAAGGTTGAGAAACACTGCATTAGGGGATAAAAACTTGAGTTACACAATCTACTTGTTCCCTTTCAGGTATGGTTGCCAAGCAATTTCTCTGGGAGAACTCCTATGCCTTTACTAGCTGCATTAAAAAGAGCCTCTGCATTCTGGGGCAAGTGCCCCCTACTCAATTTCTGACTCTTATGCAGCTGTTAGCAACTCTGCTTTCACAGCTCCATTTATTGTGATTTTGCACCAGAGTGTTAATTATTTTGGGAATAGGCTTTGCCTTACCCTTTTTGCCATTTTTGGCCCAGGATTCTCTGATAATAAGATTTGGGGAGAAGGAACCAGCTGCCTTCCATAGTCCTTGTTGGGCCCTTCCTTGACCACTGGCATGATCAGTTCTCAGGTTCTGGCTGTAGTGAGGCATGAGCTCACCAGCTTGGGTTAACTCCATACTCTGTAAATTGGGATTGGAAAGGTATGGCAGAGAACTGTAGAAAGTCTTGAGGTCTTTTGCTGGAAGGTCCATGCGGAGAGCTCCATACAGGCTACTGTTCCTGCTATCAGGCACCAAAGGAACAGTCTGGATACGTGATCCTTGACTCTGCCTATCAAAGGACACCACTGTGGGGATGAAGGCACAAAAGGAAAAATAATTGCATGTGATTTTCTGGCTTTATAGTCAAAACCCTACAGTAGAGGAAGTGTCAGCCTTACTGGGTATACCAGACAGGAAACATGACTGGATGAGCTAATTCTACTTTATTGTAAAGCTACATTAGCAGAACTTTGCAAGTCTGAAAGTGCATCTCTCCCCCCATATCCTTTATAGCCCCACCCAGTATCCAGTTGCAGGCTATGCATTCTCTTATCTGACCATTCCCTAGGCAGCATCTCTTGGCCCTGTCTCCCAGGGTCTTTCCCACATACCATTACAGGTAGTGAACTACTAATTTGCAGGGTTGATAAGGCCCATTAAAATATATTTGCTCCATATAAGCAGGCAGAAGCCTTATTTTCTCAAAAACCATATACTTCAAATTCCTTCATTTTTACTAGGAAGGTGCTGTGTGCAAGAGTCACAGAATGATCATGTCCCACCTCTTCTACCTCCTTTGTGGGGAAAGGTTCTCCCTCCTCCACTTTGAGGGACTATGCAGAAATAACACAGAGGAAGATGCTTTTCCCACCCCATGGCAGCATCCAGCCCATAGGGGTATGCTGGAGAGAAGCCCAGGCCTTGTGCAGGGTTTAGCTCCCCAACCCTGCTCTAGATCCAATTTCAGTAGGACAACTTCTGCATGGAATGTTGTGGAAAAGTATTACCCAACTACCAGAAAAGGTAATTGCCTTGCACACTAAATCTGTTAATGGCTTTATACTACTTTTCTTGAATGTAGTGTGCGTGTTCTTTGATTTTATCTGGAGTTCCATAAACTACCTCAGAAGCTTATTTAAATGGTGGAGCAATATAATAAAGATAGAATCAAGACTTTCAACTTGGCCATGAATGATGAAGAAAAAAAAATGTGTACTAGATTTGTGGAATTCTTGGCTGTCTTTGGATTCCATCCACAGAAGTTGGCTACTGAGGCTGCTGCTGGTGCTGCAATTCTTGGATCCAGATGTGGATTTCCATGTATTTGAAAGCCAAGGAGAATCACTGGAGTCTACCCTGTAGTCAAGGGGAGAAGACACATAACTGCACTGACATGGTTCTGGATGATAGCTGTGAGAATTAGTTCTTGCACAGCCAAAGAAAAATAACCTAATACCAGATCAGTCTGTTACTGAAATAAGAGACAGATGGAAACAAGGCTTCCTATCCAAAAAAGAGAACAGTCCAGCACATTGCATAGCTTGGGAGAAGAAAGAGGCACAAAAATTAAACACTGATTTTACTATAAATAGGACAGTCACTTGATAAACGGTGCTGACAGTAACTCATTTCAGCCCTTCCTCTTGATTGCTCTCATGCATTCCTTGACATTTAGCCCTGAAAATAAATACTCAGAAGAAACAAACATCCTGAATCCCTATCCCTTACCTATGTTTGATGATGGTATCATCACTTGCATTCCTGTACAAACCTGAGAAGAAGAAAGTGTATAGTAAGAGGCTGTGGTTCCATTGTTCTCATTAACAGTCTGTTTATGATGTGTGTGTCATGGCTGACAACAGCACTCTCTGCTCTTCAGAATAAGGCCTCTTTTTAGGAATAAACAACATTTTATCTGCAGACCAACCATATATTTCCTCCAGTGGCACCTCTTATGCAGAAAGTGCTGCTTATTCAAGGAATGCCAGAAAACCATCAGCATTGGTGGGACATTTAATCTTTTCTTTGTATGCCAGCCTCCCCATTGCAGATAATCCTCCAATGCTTCTAAAAGGCATTTTTCCCCCTCTATGGTTCCAAAGGCACCTACAGAAATGCTAAGTCTTTGACCGACCTCTGTGAACACAGCCAAAGTGCAGCCTCCCTTACCTTCTCCAAGGGCATACTGTCGTCCTCCTCCACCAAATTGCCTGGCTTGTTGCTGGCAGACGTAAACTGCCAGCACCATCAGCATGATCCAGAGCGCTGAACCCACGCTGGCAATGAAGACAGGTTGGCGCACTACTTCCAGCATGTAGTTAGCCGAGAGAAAGTCTGAAGTCTTTGTCATCTTCCCCACCATGGGGTCTGGAATGAAATAAGTTCAGGTGATGGAGCTAGGTAACACTTAAAATGTACAGAAGAATGTGGGCTCTGGTACTCTCAACATACATGCTGAATATTAGGAGCTCATACACATGCAAGAACACTCTGGTTGGAAGCAGCTGGCATAGCTGGAAATATACTGATGACACTGGAGAACTGATGCCAGTGTAGGTAATGGTGGATTAGAGGAGCTTAACATCAGTTAAATTTTTTTTTAAAATGTCCTCCAAAGTCCAAAGAAAAAAGAAAATTCTCACCTAAAGCAAGAGATAGCTGGCGTATTTCACACTAGCATCACATCTGCCATTGCACCAAAATATTAAAATGTGGCCTCTGCCACTAAAAGGGTGCCCACTGCATAGACACTACTGTAAAACAAGAAAAGGGCAAGGAGACAATGTCTGAAATGCAGTTATGTATGTCTCAAGGAATAATAAAACAGCCAGTTCTGACCTGCAGTACCACATACAGGATTGCTAGATACTCCAACACCTGCTCCATTGATTGCTGCTACCTTCACACAGTATTTTTGCCCACTTGGGAGTCCTATTGTTTCCAGACTATGGGTATCTCCATCTATTGTCTTGTTAAATCCCTGGTGAGTTTCATTGCCAAGGAACCAGACCTGGGGGGGTGGGGGGACAAGAAACAAAGGTAGTTCTTCTGTATCACACAAAGCAGGGTATTTTCTGCAAAGCAGAAGTACAACATGATTCTTAAATCTCTGGGAGACCAAAAGTTGCTGAAACAAAGGGTCCAGCAGCTCCATCCAGTCTGACCCATACTGAGAGATTCAGGAAGTTGCAGTTCACCAGCTTCTGGAGTACCCCAAGTTCCTTTCCTCTTAGCACATAGAAGCCAAGCTAGAATAACAAGCATATGTATTACTTAGCAAAACACTTAAAAGATAATATCATTATGAATAATATGCACAGAGCAAAGTGAGCAAAGCAAAAAGAAACGAAGCAACACGACAGATATTGGTATTCAATAACTAAACTCCATACCTGGTAACCCTTAATGATGCCATTGTGTGCGTCCAGTGGAGGTGGCTCCCAGTGGATGATCACAGTGCTATTCCTACCTTGGGACACAGTGATACTGGTGATTTGTGGAGCAGCACTTGGCACTGAGGAAAAGAGACAGGACTAGCTGAAAATATTTAGCAGCAGCCAGACCACCCATTCCCTAAGCTGCTTGGGAACACAGGACTCTTCCATCCATCACTTCCTGTCTGTTCTAACACCCCTTGTCTCCTCAACCACCCAATGCTTCTCCAATAGATCAAGATCCAGAGGTTAAGGCAAAGGCATTTTGTATCAACTTTGCCCATAAGAATAAGAACCTCCCCCACCCCCACCAAAAAAAGCTCTTACATCCAACTCAAGGTCACCTGAAGAAAAACGCAACAAAATGAAAACAGGAGAGAAAAAAAAAGAACAGGAGACAGAAAACGAGAAGAAAGAGGATGATGACCCCACAGCTTTGAACTGTGGGATCTGATTCGTTTCCAAAAGGTTAGCACAGTTTTACACCAAAAAAGGTTTCCCTGAAGCTATGAAATGAACAATATGGGTCCAAAAAAAAAAAATGGAGACGATCAATCGATCGATCAATCAATCAATCAATCAATCAATCAATCAATCAAATCTTTATTACAGTCAAAGACCAGCATAAGCTTTTGTACCTTCCTCGGGGATGCGCAGCTGTCTCATATTGCTGTCTAGGCCATGGATCTTCCCCAAATATGGTCGCACCTTGAACTCATACTTGTAACCTCTCTCAAGCCCTGGAATAATAGTCTGCTGGTCTCTGGGGACATTCCACTCGGCCCAGTGCGCTTTTGTAGGCAGCAGAGAACGGTAGAACACCATGTAAGCGTCTATGTGCTGGGAAGTGGGGGTAACCTTCAGGGCAACACAGTAGATTGGAAATGTGCTTTAGTGCGTAAGTTTAGTTCTTAGAAATCAGGCATATTGTTAGGGTGGTATGTGTTTGCTTTCCTTCTGAGTAAGAAGAAAATGGGCTTGCCTCTGTGGAGCAAGAAATGATGGGACCAAAATGGGGACCATCTAGAAATAAACCAGAATCTTCATCCTAGTTTTAAATTCTGAAGCATTTGGAATGTTGGGCCAAAGTTCTGAATGTAAAATTCAATTTTGGGCCAGTGCTTGTTGACACATGCAGACAGCCAAGCTGAAAAATGCCAGATTCAATAAGTGAAATACAATATTTCTAAACTCTTTTGAAATCAACAATCATCATGAGGAACACTTTAAAAAGGAAAGTGAGATTGACAATATAAAGTGAACTGTTGCAAGCAAGAGCCATGAGGATTTGCAGAATTAGGATTACAATTATTGTGACTGTTTGGGGTTCTAACTGGTCCCTGAAGTGGATGAATAATACATCTGATTGGGAAGGCTCCTATCCAGCCAAGAAGCTCTTTTTCTGAATTTCATTCTTTTTGAAACTTGATTCCTGTGAATCCAAGACCTCTCTCTCTCTCTCTCTCTCTCTCTCTCTCTCTCTCTCTGTGTGTGTGTGTGTGTGTCTTTGCCTCCTGATTTTTAGATACTGCTTTAGAATTATTTATTTATTATGTTTGTCTGCCTTGGGCTGCATCACTCTTCTTTGGAGTTATTGCTCCGCTTCTCATTTCTAATCCTCTGACCATTTACAGCCCAATCATGACTGGACCCTGCCATTGGTTTATTGTTACTCTAAATGTACCCACCAACCAAAAATTAGTTGGAGATCATTTTATCTATAGAAACTGATATGTTAATTAAGTCATTTTAATCATAACCTAACTCCTTGCCATACATTTCCTAATTTACCTACATATGGTCTCCTAATGTTACCTTCAAGAGGGATGAAAGCCCTATAGTTCAGTCTTCCCCAAAGTGGGAGTATTCCAGATATATGGATTTCAATTCCCTGAATCCCATAACCTGTATGACCATTGCTAAGAATTTTGGGAGTTGAAGTCCACACATCTGGAAGGCACCCAGGTTGCAGAAGGCTGCTCTAGCTCATTTGTGATGACCATCAACAATATCTGGATTTTGATCTATTACCACTTTCTCAAGTCACCCTTTGTCATTTCTAACTCACCTTCCAGTACAGATGGGCTGCTGGAGCAGAGGGGACAACAGTCACATTTACTAGACAAACTCTGATATCCATCAGCTCCTTTGGGACATCTTTTGGCCTGTCCAATTCCCTCTGCCTGGTATCTATTGGATCTAAAGGCCAGAAAAGAAACCCAAAACATATATATGTGGTGAACCTCAACTTTAAAGTACTTGAAGTATGGTGACACCAATGCTCCCCTTGCATTTGGATGTGACCTGGCCTTATTCTAGGGGATAGTAGACACCCTAGGACAACAGGAGGCCTTTAATCTAGTTTCATATGGCCCATTACCTAATTTCAACACCTTCCCCCTGCCCCAGCTTTTGTAACAGCTCTCTCTCTATCCTCCCCTTCCTCAGGCCACAGGCTGTTGGAAAGAGAATATCCCCCCACAGTCCCACTCATTATGCGGCTTCTAACAGCTCACCCTTAAGAGAATCTGTTTCTGCCTATCCCTGCTGTAGAGGAATTAACTGGGGAGGTAAGTCATCATTCAGTAAGTGCAAAACAAAGCCTAGGTGAACTCTAATCATTCTGGACTTTCTTACCCAAGACAGTGACCATGGCTGCTCTGCTCACTTGCTCTCCTGCTTGATTGGCAGCCAGACAAATATATGCTCCTGTATCACTCTTTAGAGCATGGGCTACCAGAAGTTTTTCTTTGGAGAGCTGCAGAAATGGAGAAAAAAAAAAGAAAAGGTTGGAATGCCAGAGGAGACAATGACCTTGCTGGACAACTGAAGAGAAGAACCTCCCCATTTTTCTCTGTCATGGAGGAGGAAAGTTTATTATTCTTCAAAAATGATTTAGCAATATCACTCTATATTTTCAAAATTAGAGGAGCATGATCGTTAAGTTAAGGGTGGACAATCTCCAGAGTTACCTCTGCAGCCTCTCCAAAAATTGTCTTTGTCTTAACATGTTATGTGAACCAGGCTATTGTCTTAAACCATAATTATAATTTGTTGGGCATAGCTTATTACATAAACAAAGCTGTGTTGTTTTGTTAACTTGTGTTGATATTACACCTGATGTGTTAATGCAGCCACTTAAATCCCATTGATTTCTATAGGTCTACTGTAATTGAGACTGTTAATCACTACTAATTTGTCTTCTCTAAGTTACCTAAACCTGGATGCTGCCTAAAATAATGGGTAGATACTAGTATGGCTACCTCATAATGACCATTTTCTGCATTTATGGGTACTCCATTCTTCTTCCATGAGATGGTGGGTTCAGGATGTCCCAGTGGAGGCACACATTCCAACAACCACTGTTGCCCAGTTATCACCATCAAGTCACTGGGATGAAGTCGGAACTCCTCTTCTAGGGCTACATAGAAACATAAACATTCAGAAACAATCTTTGATAGGAGGATTTTCACCTTCCACCCCATTTTTAGTACATTCTCAGAAACTCATAGAAGAATAACAATTTTAACATCAGCGACCAAGTAACTGGAACAGTGAAATAGCCTTCCAAGACTATTATTGGATGTTAGAATTGTGTCTCATCAGTAGCGATTGATGCCACAGAGAATGATAGCATCCAGTGAGCTAAATGGCAAAATTATCAACTATCACAAGGTTATTTTGGTACCAAAAACCAGTTCCATAGCACAGAGTCATCCTGTTTTAATTCTCAGGGGAAATAGTTCCTACCTGTCTCTAGATAGTAGATCTTGAGGTTTTTATACATTTGACAGACCTACTGTATGTAGAGAGTGCTTGGATTTACATATAAAAATTAATCATGGTTTGTACTGACCATATCTTGTTGAGTAAGCTACTGTGAAATATGTGAACCCAGAAATTTTGGAAACCATGGTTCATGGCTTGGCATTTGTGTATCCCAGGCTATTATAGCTTGTTTATCAAGCCATGGCTTAGCACAGTTCAGATGCCATTAACTGACTTTGTCCTTAACATTGAGGTGAGCCTTTCTGGAGAGATAAATTCCTTTCAATTAACACTTTAAAAAGACCATCTAGCTAGAGGTCATCCCCACAACATCCTGTGGCAATGAAATAAGAGCTCGTGTAGCTGTTGATAGGGAAATGCTTTAGTTGCTCCCTTAAAGATAGTAATTGCCTTGACAGGCTGAACTGGGAAGGCAATCTGAAAGCAAAACCCTGCAGAGAGGAAAAACAGGGAACTCTTTATTCTTTGCCGTTCAGTCTTTTCAGTTTTGCCCGTTTCCTGCATTTGTTCCTCCTGGAGGATGTGAATCTTTTGTGATACAATCAAAACTCCAGGAGATGAGTCAAATGCTTACATGCAGAGTTCCTACCTTAGGATGTGATTCTTCCTAGATATTTTTAGATTGCTGCAGCAGGAAGTTTATGAAATTATTTTAATTAAAAGACAAGTTAAATGGGAAGCTAGTATTTCAAAAAGCAAAGCAGGAATTTCCAGCATCATCTTTATGTTCAGGTATGCCTTTGCCCCCCCACCTCATAAATCTCATAGGTATTTTTAGAAAATAACAGAGGGCTTCAGTTCAGCATTTTGTTTGGAAGAGCACACTGGTGTTCAGGGAAAAAAAGAGTAAGGTGGATTTCTAAAGAGCATCCTGGGAAGCTGAAGGGTTAGGAACAGCTCTTCAAGGTGTCAGGCAAAAGTTTTTGCAATCACGAGCTACTGATTCCTCTAACACAGTGTTGTCCAAACTTGGCCACTTTAAGATGAGTGGACTTCAACTCCCAGAATTCCCCAGCCAGCCAT